CCTTGCTACCCTCTTCTAATATATGCATAAAAGCCTTGGGATTCTCCTTGACCCTGTTTGCTGAAGACATTCCATGGTCCCTTATAGCTTTCCTAAATCCACGTTAAGTTCCTGCCTAATTTCTCTATACTCCTCAATGGCTTTGTCAATTTGTAGCTGCCTAGAATGTTGTGTGCCTCCTTTTTCCTTTTGACTAAGTTTACAATTTCCCTTATCATCCAAGGTTCCTGAATCCTGCCATTCCTATTCTTCAGTTTTGTAGGGACATGCATGTCCTGCACTTTAATCAACTGGTCTTTAAAAGCATCCCACATGCTAGACGTAGATTTACCCTCAAATAACTGTTCCCAATCCACATCCTCCAGTTCCTGCCTAATTTGAATGTAATTGGCCCTTGCCCAATTAAGCACCCTCACCTGAGGGCCACTCTTATCCTTGTCCATGACTACTTTAAATCTTATGGAGTTATGGTGACTAAGCCCAAAATTCTCTCCTACTGAAATATCAATCACCTGTCCTAGCTCATTCCCTAAGGCTAAGTCTAATATGGCCTCCTTTTTGGTTGGATTGTCAACATACTGCTTCAAAAAGCCCTCGTGGACCCACCAAACAAATTGCTCTCCATCCGAGCCTCCTGCTCTATGGGAGCCCCAGTCAATAAGAGGAAAGTTGAAGTCACCCACCACAATTCTGCTGCTTTTGATGGCCCATAGCGCATCATGCATGCCCAGTGTTGAGTTGCTAGATCTGTTCAAAGTCTGTCCCATTTAGCACGGTGATAGTGTCTTACAACACAATGGAGGTTATTCTCAATCATTACGAGTACATTTTTTTTGCTCCTCCCACATGAATGGTTTCCTATGGCATAGTGCCATCGTCACTTAGCTCATCCATCCTGTAAGTCCTCACTGTCACCAGAATTGAAATGAAATAAATTATGCTAGCCAGTTACAAAACATATGGATTCAGTGGCTTTCTTTAAGTGACTGGCTGGTTTGTGATGCAGAGTGACACCAACAGTGTAGGTTCAATTCCTGCTCCAGGCTGAGGTTACCATGAAGTTCCCAAGCTCACCCTCACCTGAGGTGTGCTGACCCTCAAGTTAAACCACCACCAGTCATCTCACTCTCTCTAATGAGGGAGCAGGACAATGGTGACTTTACCTTTCAAGTCCCAAAAATAAATTAGATTTTTACAGAGAGATTCAATTCCCTTTCCTATGGCCTACATCGAGTTGGAGTGTCCTCCTTGAGTGCTGGAGAACTTCATGATAGTTTGTGAAATAGTACTGGAAGGCAGCAGCCAGACTTCTAGCTGAACAAGAACATGACCCTGTGAAGCACAGACAGGAATCATTGGGTCTGTTGTGTTTTAGTTTCACAGAGAAACAGTCATGAGAGCAGAAGCTGTTGTGCGATGTTGGAGGTTGGTGATAATAAAGGTCAGTGTATCCCATTGCCAAGAGGCACTTTGCATCAAAGGCAGTAGAAATCACACTTGGGTGCCAAAAGAAATCCAGCAGGTTGTCTGTATATATGTATATTGATATGTATCATATGATTGCTTACACAGTACTACCAGTTGAAATGGCAATGTGTAACTAACTCACTGATACAGTTATATGTAACTTACTGTTTTGGTCATGTATAACTCACCAAAACGGTCATGTGTAACTCCCTGTTACAGTAATTTGTAACTCACTGATATTGTCATGTGTAACTCATTGATACAGACATGTGTAACTCCCCGATATAGTAATGTGTAACTCCCCAATACAGTAATTTGTAACTCACCGATATGGTCTGTGTAACTCCCTGATACAGTAATTTGTAACTCACCGATATCGTCATGTGTAACTCCCCAATACAGTAATTTGTAACTCACTGATACAGACATGTGTAACTTACCGACGCGATGTTTCAACTCTGATGAGAGGAATGAGCTGGAAATCAGGCTCCAGGCCGCCATGAACAATGCCAAAAGTGTCAACGTTTTATTGAATTACCAAAATGATTAATTTGTCTCTCTTTTGTAGTACCAGCAGAGTAAAAGAAATAGTCAACTCAAAAAATAATTCAAGTGTGATAAGCAAGACTTATTAGTACAGTGAAGAGGATTCACACATTTCTCCAGTTCATCCCTTTTTATTCAGGAGCTTAATGAGTTAGGGTATTCTGCCTGGAATCCTAACAAATTGGTGAACCTCACCCAGGGATCAGTCATAACAAAGGCTAGTTTGTAGGTTAATTAGTAAGCTAAGAGAACGTTATTGCTTATTGCAAAAGGAATTGAACATAAAAGTAGGGACATTTTGGAATCATAGAATTTTACAGTAGAGAAGGAGACCATTTGACACATCGTGTCTGTACCGTTCCTGAAAGACTACTCAGCCAGTCTGATCCTCCAGCCCTATCTCTGTAGCCCTCTAAATTCATCATTTTAAAATATATATCCAGCTGTCTTTTGAAACGTCCGAATGGAATCTGCCTTCATCACTCTCCCAGGCAGCACATTCCAAATCCTAACAGCTCTCTGAGTAAAGAAGTTTCTCCTCATCTCACTCCTTGCCCTCTTGCTGACAATCTTGAAATTGTGACCCTGAGTTACTGACATAACAACTCATGGAAACAAAATATCCTTCTTTACCCTATCAAAGTTGTTAATAATTTTGAACGCCTCAATAAGGTCACCTCCAAGAAGAATAAAAGCAATTTCTTTAACCATTCGTTTTATCTGAAATCCCTCATTCCTTGTTTCATTCTAATAAACCTCCTTTGAACTCTCGCCAGGGCTTTAACATCCTTCCTTAAATAAGGTGCCCAGAACTGAACACAATATTCCAAATGTGATCTGACCAATGATTTGTAGATGTTTGGTATCATTTCCTTGCTTTTATACTCTATGCCTCTATTTAAAAACACAACAATCCTATAAGCCTTCTTCACAACTGTTTCAACTTGCCTGGCCATCTTCAGAGAATCATGCACGTGAACCCCGAGGTCCCTCTGCTCTTGTACTCCCCTCATTATTGTATCTTTGAGCCTGTATTGTCTCTCCATGTTTCTTCTACCAAAATACATAACCTCATTTTTCTCTGAATTGAAATTCATCTGCCAGGTATCTGCCCATTTGGCCAATTTGTCATTTTCTCTCTGAAGTCGCCCAGCGCCATTCTCACACCTTGCCCTCAACACCCATCTCCAAATCATTTATATAAATCAAAAAAAAGCAAGGTCCCAATGCCAATCCGTGGGAATAGCAATTTCCTAACCAACGTGCCATGTGGCACTGTATCAAATGCTTTCTGAAAGTCTAAACATACAACATCCACAGCATTATCCTCATCCACTGCCTGTGTGACCTCGTCAAAGAACTCAATTAAATTTGTCAGACATGACCTGCCCTTGACAAAGCCACATTGACTCTCAAATACGAACTTCTTTTTCTGTCGGTATGTATTTACCTTATCCCATATTATGTCTTCCATCAGTTTTCCCACTATTGAAGTCTAGCTGACAGGTCTACAGTTTCCTGGGTTATCTTTTGTTCCTTTCCAAAATAATGGTGTCACATTCACTCTCTCAGCAATCTCGGACACATCCTAGAGTGCTGCCAGCCTTTATAGCAACTCTTCTTTATCCATCACTATACTGTTTGTTTGTTTCAACACTCAGATTTTTACTGGGCCATTGTCTCCATCATCTGATTTGGTAAATACAGAAGCAAAATATTCATTTAGTACTTCTTCCATACGTTTTGCTTCAGTGAACAGCTTTCCTTACTTGTTCCTTATAGGCCCCATTCTATCCTTCACTAATCTTTTACTGTTAATATGCTTGAAGAATATTTTTCTGTTTATTTCAGCTCAGTCTGCCATCATCTCCTCATGGTTCCTCTTAGCCTTCCTTATTCCAGCCTTAGCCTCTCTCCTGAATTTGAGATACCCTTCCTGATTTCTATAGCTTTTATTTTTCCGATATGAATGATTTGCCTTCTTCCTTATTTTCCTGTACCATCTTTATTCATTGGTCCCTTGGTCATTCAGAACTTGAGTATTGTGGAGAAAGAGAATACTGTGAAAGATTTTTTGTTTTGCAGAAATCAGATTCATGAATACCAAATCGCAAGGGGAATAATAATTTATAGTCCATGAGAAATTGAATGCTAATTGGATGGCAAGTGGAGTCTGACTAGTTGAGGTGTGGCCATGGAGAATATAACCAGAAACAGTAACCCGAAGTTTTTGTAACCAAACCTGCCGACCAATCAATCATGCATTATAAATTATTTAATCCATTGAAATTTAATATTCTTGCATATGTTCTGATGAAGTTAAGAGAAAAAGAAATGAAAATGTCTCTTTTTTCAGCAACACTCATAATTGACCAGATACAATGTGGTTTATCCATGGGTTTAACGTTATGCTGTGTCAGATACACTGTATAGTATCAGCACTGGACCGTGTTAGTGAATCACCAGACATAATTATACAGACCTAAAACAATCTAACACATCAGCTCTTTAGTGTAATTACCACAGTGTTTTTTTAATAATTTGACTGTAAAGCCATAATTATCACCCATCATACAATAATAATTTTACATCAGCAGTTTAAAGGGGAAGCTGATAGAGTGATACTTGTTATTTATATTTCAATGGAAAAGATATTCAGTTAGTGGAGCTATTCAGAGTAACAGCTAGCTGTAGAGAAGTAGAAACTGAAAGAACTGTGGACGTTGTAAATCAGAGACAAAAATAGAAATTGCTGGACAAGCTCAGTTCTGAGGAAGGGTCACAATCTGAAACGTTAATTCTGATTTCTCTCCACAGATGCTGCCAGACCTGCTGAGCTTTTCCAGTAATTTCTATTTGTCTGTAGAGAAAATAGCTTCCTTTCACTATAGCTACTTTAGAAGCCCAAATAATTTCAAATCCAAATACTTTCTGATCAAATTACTTGTAAATCAGAATAATACAGAATTTTAAATAAAAACTGAAAGGACTGTGTATGCAGAATTTTAATTGCTTTATCTGAAGAGAAAACCAAAGCTGCCACAATAAACAAGGCTCCAGAAGACTTAAGTGTAACCACCACTCAATTTACACTGATTTGTTTGAACCATCCAATCAATCTTTGAAGGCAGATTTCTGGATTGGCACAGCTGCATTTCCTGGTAAAATGCCACATTTTGCCAGCTGCTTTCCCGTTTTCCAGGGAGCAATTCCTTGACCCAATGGTATTGTTCACTCCAAACAAGCTCCAATCTCTGTTCCACGTAACTATTTATTCATCTGCTAGCAGTAATTCAAACTTTAATACACTCTGCTCAGTTGTCTGGTTATCACTGCTCAAAGGATTGGATTTCATATTCAGTGACTTGAGGGAGGGCATAGAGGCAAGTCTCTCAACTGGTATCTCTGAAAAATAGAAGTAGATCATTGAACTCTTCACCCTGGTGAAACTGAGAGAATAGGAGAAACTTTAGACTTTAAACTTCATGTTCAGGGTAAATGCAATGTGGGGTTTCCAGTTGTGTCAACAAGCTGCTAAGGAATGAGAGATTAAAAAGTATTGGTTGCCTACTAAGTGTTATTTAATAGATGTTAGTTTTAGTTAGTCTGTTACAGTAAAATACTTACAAAAATGAAATCTTATTTGCAATTCATTGTTGGGAAATCCATACCTCCTTCTAAAAGCTATTGATTTCTACAGAGTTTCTACTTGGGTGGCATGGTGGCTCAGTGGTTAGCACTGCTGCCTCACAGCACCAGGGACCCAGATTCGATTCCACCCTCGGGCGACTGTCTGTGTGAAGTTTGCACATTCTCCCTGTGTCTGCGTGGGTTTCCTCCGGGTGCTCTGGTTTCCTCCCACAGTCCAAAGATGTGCAGGCTAGGTGGATTGGCCATGCTAAATTGCCCGTAGCATTCAGGGATGTGTAGATTAGGTGGGTTAAAGGGGAAATGGGTCTGGGTGGGATGCTTTGATGGTTGGTGTGGACTTGTTGGGCCAATGGGCCTGTTTCCACACTGTAGGGATTCTATGATATAAAAAAAATTACAACAGCTTTCAGAGTTAGAGTTTACAGCATGGAAACACACCCTTCGGTCCAACCCATCCATGCTGACCAGATATCCTAAATTAATCCAGTCGCATTTGCCACATATCCCTCTAAATGCTTCCTATACATATACTCATCCCAATGCCTTTCAAATGTTGCAATTGTACCAACCTCCACCACTTCCTCTCACAGCTCATTTCATACGTTCACCTCTGCATGAAACAGTTGCCCCTCAGGGCCTTTTTCTATCTTTCCCCTCTCACACTAAATACACCCTTTCAGATGATTTTGCCAAGGGGCAGCACACAGATGATAAATATGGGGAGGCTGGTCTTGGGGGACATCAGAAGTAACAGCACAGGAGCAGGAGAAAAAGGACTCTGGTTAGGTCAGCAAGAATGGAACAAGCTGAGATAAATCCATGATCATCATTCAACTCATTTTTATTCCAGATTTTTATTGAATTCAAATTTCACCATTTGCCATGTGAGATTCAAATCCATGTTGCAGTTTATCAGCCTTAGCTGGGCTCTAGATTACCAGTTCAATGATATTACCACTACACCACTGCCTGGAGAAGGTGGGGAGAGGTGGTTTAAGAAAATAGTTTTCAATTCTCAATGTTATTTTCTCATTTCCCATGATCGTGGAGTAGTGAGCAGTTTTCACAGGCATCAGCAGAACCACACTGTGCTCTTGATGACCCAGACTGATATGGTGGTGGATGAATAAACCAGTTGTCCATTGTGTCCTCTGAAGTCTGTAGACCTTGGTATTAAGGGCCTTGGTGTTAAGGGAGTGAGGGTGAGCACCGTACCAAAGGGAGAAGCCACAGCATTTCTTTTTGAGGATGGGCTGAGGGGCAGATGAGTAAACCAATAGCTGCAGAAGTGGAATGCAGTGGTGCAGTGGTAATGTCACAGGATTTGTTGGGATAATGCTGCCACTTTAAAAAAGGTTATTTATGTCATTGTTTTTTTTGAAGAAAGCTTGTAAAGGCAGAGGTACCAAAGAGTCTAGGGAATAACAGTTTAACAATGGAAGGGGAGTGGCCAGTTCTCCCAGTTCAGGTTTTTTTCTAGTATTTTTTGCCATAGCAGTCACAGATATTTTGTGCACCGGAAGTGTTGCAAGCTTCAGTAAAAGATTCCTCGGACTTTCTCTGAAATCTCTCTCTGGATGTTGTTCCCTCCTGCCTGTA